TGCCAAAGTCTACTAACCTGCGAGGCATGACACAGTGACACCAGAGCGAGCAGCTGATAATGTAATACACAACTCCTGTGAGGCAAAAGTTAAAAGTGCTTGTTCTCTCAGCAGAATGATTTTAAGGATCTTTATATTCTAGTTCCCAGGAGGGATAATTACTCAGTATAACACAGAGAACATTTCTTAATCTCCTAAAGGAATTTTATTTAAAAGTGTGTGGAAAGGATGGAGATAGCTGAATGGTGTTTTTTTTTTTTTTTTTCTTTTAATGTTCTCAGCCCTTTCTAAATTACCTTCATTCCAGGGGGCAATGCAGCCTCTGAAAACACGTTCCAGCAGAATGTTCAACCCCAATTATAAGACTATTAAGAGAAAGGTGGTAGCTCAGCAACTAAGTAGGGAGGGCATATGCTAGGTTCAAATTCCTGATGCTGCCACTTAAAAGAATCTGAGGTATCAGAGCCTGGAGAAACAGCTGTTGCAGACCTTGAGAATTGGTGGGAGATGATGATGATAATTATGCTAAAAGATGTGCCCTTGTTCTTCTATATTCCTAAATATTATCTCTGTAAAAACATTTAAAAGCAATCAGATAGCATTGAATTCTCTAGTCTTTAAGAAAAAAAAATGACAAATAAAAATTTCAATTCAGTTTCCCTTAATCCAGTTAACACATTTGTCCCTGTATGACAGGGATCTTTAAACATGGCCCTTTTATGACTTGTGGACTTCAACTCCCAGAATTCTTCAGCCAGGCACACTGGCTAAGGAATTCTGGGAATTGAATTCCATAAGTCATAAAAGGGCCAAGTTTGAAGACCCCTGCTGTATGACATAGTTAGCTATAGAGACAAGGTATTTAAATAAGTGCAGACTATACTTTTTTTTTTAATTTAGCAAGCAAGTGGCTCTCATAAAATGGGAAAAGCTTCTAAAAGAAACAATTCTCACTTGCTCCTCTTTACAGTTGTCATGCCTTCAATCATACCATTCATGTCATGCTGACAGGGAGAGATGCTAATTGTGGCTCTGTTGTTCCTACCCAGTGAGAGTGATAAAGAGGCAAGCGCAGTTTCTTTTTTTTAATTTGAACAATTTGCATGTGTCTGTATTCACAGGCTTTTACCAAACTGGAGCAATGCCGTGACTGAAATGAATGTGACTGAAAATGTAAACAGGAAAAAGGGGAAGTACATTCCCAAGCATGCACAAAAATAAAGATGGCCCAAAGTATTACAAATTAACATTCTTCTTTAGGAAGCATATTTCCATGTTCTCCAATTGCTCTGTGCTTTTTAAGCAAGGCAAGGCTGAAGAATTTTAATTTACAATGAAATCTTTCTTCCTTTCTTTGAAATTCCTGGGATTCCATCTCCCACCACAAGCAGTCATTTACGGTATATTAACAGCAATAGTATAATATAGTATATAAGTATAGTATATAAGCTGAGACTTATATACTGCTTCATAGTGCTTTACAGCCCCCTCTCTAAGCAGTTTACAGAGTCAGCATATTTCCCCTAACAATCTGGATCCTCATTTTACCGACCTCAGAAAGATGGAAGGCTGAGTCAACCTTGAACTGCTGAGAATCGAACTGCTGGCAGTCAGCAGAATTAGCCTGCAATACTGCATTCTAACCACTGTGCCACTATGGCTCATATGCATTCCCTTCCTTCATTATCTGAATATTAGAGATGCCCAGATTTGTTGATGTGGGAACGAAAATCCCTTGTTAACTTTTGGTACCAGGTGTTGATGTTGGAAGTATACAAGGCCACAGTTTACATTTGCTGAGTGAATAATGGTCTCAGCACAGATTACTTCCAGTAAAGGCTTTTAAATGTACTGTCTGGACCCATTTCAGCTGGGTTTTCAACCAAGATAAGTACTGTGATGCCTGGGCTGAAATTGGATGGGATAAATGCAGAGTTGCTAATTCTTCCAAACTGTTCACAACTTTTGTTATGGCTATCCTGGATTGTCAGGAAGGATTGGATATGGAGCACAGTGCTGCAGGTTTACTATATAAACCTGGATTTCTGACTTCTAATATCCCACAAGATTCCAACTTGTCTCTCTTGGTATTCAATAGCTACATGAAACATTGATGGTGATCATTCAGAACTTTCTGTTTTCCAGCTACTCTAAGAAAGCATTGTCTAAACTCAGTGACACATAGATGAGGGAGAACAAGCTACAATTTAATCCAGACAAGACTGCCATTGTCAGTAGGAAATTGATTTAGGATTAAAGTTCAAACATAATGCATTCTTCTGAAAGAAATATATATATACTGTATTCACTCTGAAAGTGCAACTTGATCCTCATCTGTCACTGAATTTACAGGAATCATGTGAAGCTTGTATATAGGATGTTCTGCATTTGTTGCTAGGACCCTCTCAAGCATAATTTGAAGTGGCGATACTGACCTTTTTGGTAACAGAGCATTCAAGAATTGTCTCTCACCCTTTCAGGAAACAGAACATCTGTAATCTGTTTAATCAGGCTTGTAATTGTTAATTGATTACATTGTTATGTTAATTTTATATTTTTAAAAATGTTGTTGGCTATCATGAGTAAATAGATGTAGCATAAATAAAGTCTCTAGTGGTTTACAGGCTGCTGGATAGTATCAGGAAGTGATTTTAGAATATTTGGGGTGGGAGGTGGCTCTTTTTTTTCTAATATTTTAGAAATACCTTTGCAGTTTGTTGAATTCATTACAAATCAATGCAACTTGTTATTCGCGTAGTTTAAAGGAAAATGACTTATGTCCAATTGCTATTGGGATTAATTTATCTCACTCATTCCAGTGGAAAGGGCCTTCTTCGGATCCCAATTTCAGGTAGAGAGGTCCAGGAGAGGAGTCTTTTGAAATATTATCCTCTCAGAGACGAGACCTGCCCCCACACTAATAGTTTTCTGGAAGAGCCTAAAAACGTGCTTTTGCCTTTTGGCCTGGGACCCTGACAGAATTCCACTATATTGAAGGTGGCTGATGAGATAGAGAAAATTCTCTCCCCCAAGTTGACCATCATCTTACATTTTAATTTTAGCTTTTTATTCTATTTTAATTGGGTTTTTTTTTACACTTTTTACAGTTTACTGTATTGTAAAAGTTGCTCAGAGTCATTGTATTAGTGTGATGGACAACAAAGAAATCCAATAAATAAAAATAAATAAAATTATACAATGATTAGCGTCTGAAAAGCATTTTATGAAGACCTGCTAGCCAGCAATTCTGCAATTAGAACATGCAAAAGAACACTCTCCCAGCTGATAACCACCAGTTATTGCTCAAAGAGATATTGCCTTTAATCCTGAAAATATGATTTGATCATTGATCCTGATTAAGAGCAATGGGAGGGGATGCTACTTTTTATTTTATTCTTCTAACTATCCTGACATATCCAAGATCTCCTGTCCTGTTTAACATCTGCATTAGGGGTGTCAAACTGCCAGCCCGTGGGAAGCCACACCCACCCAAGCTCCGGGCAAAGAGAAAAAAGTCACGATACGTCGTGACACGTCATGTGATACGACGAGTTTGACCCCTAATCTAGATGAAACAATTGGTAGAGGTCATCTTTAGCCATGGTGTGAGGTATCATCATTATGCATTATACTTCACATTCCTTACTTCACATCAGGTGAAGTAAGCAATGCTGTTGATATTTTATCTTGGTATCTGGAGACTGGGGGAATTTAGATGGGGGACAACCGGCTTCCACTCACACTGGCAGCTTTTGGGACCACCAGCACTTGAGAATTTACCATCTTTAGTTTTGGGTGGGGTGGTGCTGTTCCAGACAGACTCAGTGCACAATCTAGCGATCCTTATAGAACTCATGACTCATGTTTGATGAGCAAATGGCAGTCATGGCTGGGAGGAACTTTGCACAACTTTGGGTCGTATGCCACTTCCTCTTATTCCTAGATCAGGAGACCCTCCACTCAGTCACTCATGCCCTTGTCACCTCCCACATGTATTATTGTAATATGATGTACAGGGGACTGGCCTTGAAGAGCATCTGGAAACTCTAGCTGGTACAAACTGAATGATGAACCTAGATTAGTACAGTTTACACTTCTGTTCTGCTAGCTGCATTGGTTAGCAATTTGCTTCTAGGTTCAAATCAAGATGCTTGTAATTACAGCTAAATCCCTACATAGCATGGGGTTGGATTATTTGAGAGACCCCCACTCCCCAATCAGAAAGGAGTATCATCTGATAGAAGCCAAGAGGAGAGTCTTTTCTGCGGTGGCACGCACCTTCTGGAACATCATTCCCCTGAGGTCAGATTGGCCCCAACCTTGCTGGCCTTCCAGAAGGACCTGAAGACATGGCTTTGTCACCTGCTCTGGGGAGGTCTGTTAAAGTAGGCGGGAGCCTGCAAAGTGGCTCTGTTGCTGGAAAAATTAGTTCATTGTTCTGCAAATTATGCTTTTAACATAACGGTTTGTATTATTTTATAAATTTAAAATGAATTTTCCTGCTTTTTTTTAGTTATTTCATTCTATTGCTTTTTGTGTTTTTATCTTTGTACACCACCCAGAGGCATGTGTATAAATCTAGTCTGCAAGGATATGTGTTTATCAGAGGAATTATGGAAAGAGAGAGAGAGAGAGAGAGAGAGAGAGAGAGAGAGAGAGAGAAGCTTTCTTGGCCCCATCTACCCTTTGTCCACTTCCAGGCCTAACAATTGGGCAGCTGTCAAAGGACTGTCTAGTTATTAATGCCCCTGAAAAATGTAGTCCACCCTTTCATTCCATGAATTTACTGAGGAATTTTTGCCATGTGGAATTAAGGGGAAAGGTGCTTTTATAAATCAGACAAAGAACAAGAAGCATGATTGATGCTCAGTTGTTGAATAATCAGAAAATCTACTCATGGGGCCTCTTGTTACTTATCATTCTATATATTATTGCATTGGTCACTTTTACATTTATGTCAGTCAGAAACACTGAATGTTTTTGGATCTTCCCTTCCGCAGGTCAAAGAAGTTGGCAGCGCTTGCTGATTGCATGCAGAAAGCAGAGCTGGCTAAGGAGGACTTGGGTTTTGAATTAAATGAGCTGGAAACAGCTGCACTTCTGGTACGAGAGGAAGAGAAAGAGTTAAAAGCGATTGACGACGCAGGCGATTCTGTGCAGCAGCTGCTGCCTCCCTCCCAAGAAGAATCAAGCGAATTTGAGGACTCGGGCAGCACTTCATCATACGAGACAGAAGTCTCTGATTCGGATGAACAAGAGTCCTCAGCCAGTGAAGATGGGAAAATAAATCCTTTACAATGCACACTCCTAGAGAAGAGGACAGCCCCACTTATTGACGATAATGGATTAAGGCGAGACACAGGCACTTTGACACTGGAGGGTAGTAATGAAAAATCAAAGGCTTCTCTACAGTCTACATCTGTTTCGGGAAAACTGATAGAAGAATTAGGAAAGCAAATGCAGGCGGCAGTAAGGCTGACGGAGTTGCCTAAAGCTGCACCTCCTCTGAGGGGTGACGGCCAGGATTGCAGCAGCCCTTCGCAAGGGATGGAAACCAAAGGCACCGCTCAGCCTGAAGGACTTTTACTGGATCCTAATTAAAAGGAACATTTCTTGGAAGTGACTCCAAAGTTTTGGGTATTACAGATGAAGCTTCTTAGACAATAATTAGGGAAAAATATAATCAAATATGGAAGGGAGTTTCTGGAAAAAATATAAGCTTAGCTATTTTTTGTATTTTAAAATTAATTCTGTTAACAGTTTAATATCTTGTTTATTTGCTTTTAAATATTTTGAGGTGCTTGTGCCTGACTAGAATAAGTAAAAAATATTATAGTTTCCAGATATTTGCATGTAATATTTTTGACTTTCAAGATGATTTCTGTATATGCAGCATATTCAATATCTGTTCAGATTAATGGTAATAATATTTCCCAATACTGAATTTTGTGGAATTTATTGGGACTTACTGCAGGCAGTGATGGGAAAGAGATTGGTTCAGTTAATATTTTACTATGAACCAATCCAAATTTCAATTCTCTAAACAATACACAAGTTGGAATCCAGATATCTCTCAGTATTTATTTTTATGCAAATTATGCAATATAATTGTCTTATCAAAAATTTGAACATAAATTAGGATGTGTGTGTATGCTGAGATATGTGTATGATATAAATTGAAAGATTTTGTTGTGATCGTTCATCACCACATACAAAATCAATATGTGAATATCCGAGGCTGAATCAACAATGTTGGTATAATTAGGAGAAATACATATAAACATTATTGACTAAAAACAATATTAAAAACAGCTAAGATATTTGTTTTAGTTACACATGTGTGACAAAAAAGAAAAGGTGTTGGTATGTATTCTCTTTGGATATATAGTCAAAAAATTCCACCTTATATATATTTGGATGAATGAGAATTTTAAGTACAAATAGGTTCATACCAGCCTTTGTTAAATATGTAAAAATAAGATTAGGAAACTTAAAAACTGGGGGGGGGAGATCAAAACTCATGGAGTAAAATTGATAGGTTTCTATCCATCAAAATTGTCATTTGTGAGACGTGACTATATTTGGCAATATTATTTTAGAGCATACAACATATATTTCACTGCTGATTAATAAATATTTGATTATAGATTACCTTTATGCTACTGGCCTGTGGCTCAGCTGGAGAAAATGTGATTCACTGGTTAGAATGCAGGTTGAAATGTAGGAAATAACATAGATGTAATTATTCCAGTGGCTTAATAAAAGATGCATTGTGATTGAAGAGCAAAAATGACCATTCTCATTGAGGGCTATATGCCCAAATCATGTTTTTTTTTTACAATATTTGCTATTAATAGACAAAGCTGCATTTTTTCATTTGCATCCAGGATACACAATATGCATGTCCCTATTCATAATTTGTCATCCTGAACTATAAATACTATTTCATATTATTTGAAGTTTTTCACAATGTATTTCCACAGTGATTAGTGATAACATAATAAACTATACAGAAAATGTACCTAAGACACCAGCTAGGTCAATGTGTTTAGTTTGTGCAAATTTGAAAATAAAACTGTGGAGGTATCATGGATACAATTGTCCAAGCACTGGAACTCCTACGGCAAAAGTTAAGTGCCCTATTATTCATTTTCAGCCCACCATTTTGTGACAGGCAATGAAGTGTGCTTCCTCACTGAGAATTGACTGCTATATTGATGAAAATATAACACCCTTTATTCCACCCTTTTCCTACATAAGCAAAATTCTTACTTTGGTCTGACTTTATTGTGACTTTAGAGGTTGACTTTTTCGCCCATGCTCCCAATATTTAGGATTGTTCACTCTCAGAGAAAACAATTTGTTGTTTTAGAAATATATGAATTTTTAGAACTAGCTTTTGACTGCAGGCATGTAGTATTTCAAGTATTTCCTTAAAATAATAACATTAGAATGTGCTTCTCTACAATAATCAGTAACAGTTATGCTACAAGATCATAGTAACACTCCTCCCACATAAGCCCCAATATAGGTTTAACATAAATATTTTTAAAAAAGAATGCACAAATCAGAATCCCTTCAAAACTCCATCAAATCTTGATCCTATTTGTATGTGCCTTTTAACCACACTACTACCCATTACCACAGCTCTCTCAGCTATCAGACGATTGTCAATCTTTGATTTAGGTTATTGTTTTTCTTTCGAAATGTATTTATTTAAAATATTTAAATAAGTATTTTACAAATATTTATTGTAAAAGTATTTATCAGGAAAGCACATGCTTCCCTTTATGATGCCTCCAGTTCCTATTTAACACCTGTGGGGCAGATGTTCCTACTCAGATCTTCTTCATGCTTTTCCATAGCAGATGGATCGGTTTATTGTTTACTGGTATTTATTAATATAAAATATGAGCATATTTGGCAACACCTTAATCATAACAGGTTGATTTCTCCTTGATCACAAGACAGCTGCACTAATCCAGGAATAGATATAGCTGCTTCCAGGGTGTTGCTGACAGGGCTCCATGCACACACATATGCAGTCCAAATTTTGTGCTCCACCTCAAAGTCAAAGTGCTACCAAACCCTAAAACTTCTTTTGGCACCTAGTTTATAATCATTTAAATTTTCATCAGTTGGCTGAAGTAAAAACATCAAAACTTAACGTGACTATCCTTCTGGGGGAAAAATTAACAATGCTATGTATGTTACACAATATACAGAGACAAATTTCCATAGCCTGGAATTTAGCTTGGCGTGTCAGAACGCTAGGATCTTCTGAAAATGCTGTAACTTTGAGTTGGCTTCTAAAAGCCCAAGGTTAAAAAGTGAATAGTTAAACTTTCTGTCTCATGTTAATAAATATGAATCTTTTATATAATTGCAGATCTAATCTGAGGTGATATTTTTTTTCTAGAAAAGAGCAAATTGGTCCGAGAAGCGGGATCAACATCTACAGAAAGTAATAGGTCTATTTTATTTTGAATGTCATAGCCACTTGGCCTCTGCATAGCCTGAGTGGAGTCATTATTAATGATCTATTGAAGGGGACAAAAGTGCCCCACAGAATTAGTCTTTATGTTTGCTTTTCAGTATGTCTGGCAATTGACTGCAATAAAGCAGAATACTGGTTAGACTGAATCATGTGAGAGTCAATTCAGTAACCCTTTCAAATGAGTTTCTGGGCCAATTCAGTTGTGTCTTAGTGTGAACAAGAATGCTTGTCAGTTCAGATTATATAATGTAAATTCTCACTAAATTCAGGAGGGAAAAGCCTTCTGAATGATACCCCACACTCTTAAAATGCTAGCAAGAGTAACATGATATATTAGTTTTTTACTTAACTTTGAATCTTTCTCTCTTGTCCTTGAAAGCTATGTAGAGTTTATTTTGGATTAAGTGAAGGTAACATTGATAAGGTTCTGACTGCTTCAATAAACACTGAATATACCAGGGCAATGGATTCATAACTTTTGAGTGCGCAGCTTGCCACCAGTGAAAGTTGTGCCTCAAGGCCAAAGAAAACAGGGGAAATGCAGGTCAGATAGATAAATGGGTTGGCTGCTTAGAATGGACCATAGATGGCAGGACACCCTCAAAGCAGCCCAGAGGAGTGGAATGAATGTAGAAACAGGTTCCCAACCTGGGGTATCCACATCTCTAGAGGATGCAAGATGGAATTTGAGGGGATTTGACAAAGAGTGGCTTGTGTCCCTTAGTGACAAGTCACAATTACAGGTGGTCCTTGACTTATGACCACAATTGAGCCCAAAATTTCTGTTGCTAAGTGAGACAATTGTTAAATAATTTTTGCCTCATGTTATGACCTTTCTTGCCACGGTTGTTAAGTGAATAACTGCAGTTGTTAGTAATACAATTGTAAAGTGAATCTGGCTCCCCATTACTCGACTTGTTAGAAGGTCCAAAAGGGGTTCATACAACCGCAGCACACAGCAACCGTCATAAACATGAGTCAGTTGCCAAGTGTCTGAATTTTGATCACATGACCACGGGGATGCTGCAACAGCCATTAGTGTGAAAAATTTACAACTCCTATTCCCATAGCTCATCGCAGAGTGAATATTTTGTTGTTAAGTGAACCCCACAGTCCTTCAGCAATGTCATTGTTTGCTATGGGGTATTTTTGGTGAAAACCAGAAGTAAATGTTGGTTTGGAGGGGGGAAAGTCATAAATCAGGCCCATCAATGTGGGCCAGTGGTTAAGTGCCTGAAATAGTCACAAGACCACCAGGGGGCAGCCATTGAAACGTCAGAACTGGTTGTAAGTACCTTTGGGGAGGGTCTGTTGTAATTTTGACCCCTCATTAAGTGACTATCCATAAGGCAAGGACTACCTATGCATCAAACTGGCTTTCTGCTTTAGGAAGTATTATTTGATACGGTTTGTGTTTGTCTCTCTAAGCTTATTGCATGTTTAATCCTCCAGGTTTGTGAACGCCTATCGGTTTTCCCAAAATAAGAAACGTGCAGCAGCACTAATACAGCAATGCAGCCTTCTACCTAATTGAAGCCAGTGGGCACATGGCTACCCATGCTTTTAATAACAGATTGCTCAGCATCTTGGCAGCTGAACTGCGATTTGTGCTTATTGAAAAGCTGAGAATCTGAGACATTAGGCAATAAAGCTGTCTGGGTGCTCTTCAGGCAGCAGTTTTGCACAAGGATACCACCTTCCTGATGATGCTGTTTCATGTGCGAATGAGCAGCAAGTAGCCTCCTGGCATGGAGTTTGACTGAAGAATGATAATCGTACCATTCCACTTGAAGCTAGGGACAAGATGGAGCAATGTGCTGTCTAATTAAACATGAATACAAAGATGGTTCCAGTCAGTGAGTCATAAATGTTAATGGGAGTTGTAAGCATAAATCACTTGCGAGCCAAACGAGGAACTAATCCCATAAATTCCACCCTTAAATATTCTTGATGTTGGCCAAGATTGGGGAGGCCTCCCATTCCCTCCACACCACTTCCCAGCACTGGCATAATTAGTTTCTGGTCACAGTTTTGTAGTAATTGGCGACAAAGAGTCCCATTCGTGAGCCTAGATCAAACAGAGTGTGTTTTTCTGGATGTAGCCCTGCCTGCTGTATGCTGTTGTGTGAGAATTGCAGAAGGCTTACAGCTACAGGGGGGGGGGGCCTCGCTGTGGAAGTAGAACAATGATTAGTCCATCTGTTCCTGCAGAGCTGAGGCCAGGGAGGCAGACAGGATTGTGGGGGGTGGGGTGAGAGCAGGAAAAGGTATCTCTCACACAGGTGTCTCTGGAAGAGGCTGTTTCTTCCAGGTTGGGGGGGGGATGAACACGTGTACCCTGTCTCTTAAGTACCAGGCTTATTGATGCATCATTTTAAATCATCCAATGCTGAATTTGTCCAGCCAGGCATAGTTGAAGAATTGAAAGGAAACTGGCGTTTCTGATGTGATTTTCTGCTTTAGTTTTAACTTGTTTTGTTGGCTTCAGTGTTTGGAGGGAAAGGATTTTGAACAGAATACAAGCGGTGGAAAAGGAAAGAGGCGGGAGATGGACAGAAAGGTGCTGAGCTCCTGTGTTTCCCCCAATCCTGGAATTACAATAGACACGGAGAAGTGAACCATAGGTAGAGTTCACTTTCCCTGGCTCCCTTTCTTACTGGAAGTGATACTTCTGGAGCTGATGTTTGTAAAAAGAAAAATGTGGACATTTCCATTAGAGTGGATCGGCATGTAAAGTTTAACTGAAGCCTGACGTTCAGATTCTCCTAGCAGTCACTTTTCTCAGATTCATCCATCTCTTCCTTCAGATCAGTTCAATTTTGTCCACTCAACCTTCAGCCATCCTTTTTGTAATAGGCATTTTTTTCAGTGAAAATCATGGACTCCAGTATCAATATGCATGTAGTCCTCGACTTGCAACCATTCGTTTAGTGATCAGCATTGAAAAAAGTGACTTGTGACCAGTTTTCGCATTTACAGCCACTGCAGCATCCCCATGGCCACGTGATCAAAATTCAGACACTTGGCAACTGATTCATATTTATTATGGTTGCAGTCTTCCAGGGTCATGTGATCACCTTTTGCAGCCCTCTGATAAGCCAAGCCAACGGGAAAGGCAGATTCGCTTAACAATTGTGTTATTAACTTAACAACTGCAATGATTCACAGAGGTTATAAAACGGGGCAAAACTCACTTAACAACAGTCTTAATTAGCAATGGAAGTTTGGGGCTCTATTGTGGTCATAAGTTGAAAATTCTCTGTACTGTAACACCAAAATTCACATTTTAAGAAAAATAAAATAAATCACTACAGAATTTAAGTAAAGGCCAGCGCTATTTGACAATTATAGAATAGATAATTACAAATAGATAATTACAAATAGCACTTGGATTAAAATCCAGAAAAAGAATAGGCTTTTAAAACATTATTTAAAGCAACATATTGAGTCAGCCAAACATTTCACAACCTGGACTCGAACTAAGGAGGCTCTGTTTCCAATGTTTATCATGGTCATGTGTCATAGTGGTGTGGAAG